ATTGAGGTTGTTTTACACTTTCATATTGCTATATTTGTACGTGATAGATAAATTACAGTTGGCGCAGTTTTTGCTTTCGAAAAAAATGACATGTTGGGTTTGAATTTCGTTTTTGTTCCATTGTGGCATGATTTTAAAATTCTAAATATTGAAGGGATCGAGGTTGCTTTACGCTTTCATATTGCTATATTTGTACGTGATAGTCATGCATTATTACTACACAAAAAAGGTGTGGGGGGGGGGATAACTTGGAATTTCTAAAAATTGACTCTGGTTTTTCTTTAAATTAAAACATAGTGATATCAAAGCTATAGGGCCTTGATGTTACTGTAATTATCTACTTATAAGTTAGACTTTTTGAACGGATGGCAATAGGTCCAATGTTATACAAAGCTTCAGCGCCAGTAGTATCAGACTATGGAAATCGAGTGACATTTTTTCTCTCTGGGAGGACTGAATTACTATTATTAGCATCAATTAAAGTATTGATTAATTCCAGTTAATTTTAGATCGGGGATTTTGGTATTTCAGAGAGAGAGAGAGAGAGAGGAAGAGAGAGAGAGAAATTAGAATTTACTTGCTGATATCTACTTCTTCTTCGTTCTTAATTTTAGTTCTGGAAGGGATCCCCTCCAACTTAAGTAAGAATAGTTGTAAACTGGCTATGCGCCATTGAGGCCATTGACTCGATTTCAGCCTGCTTTTCTTTTTGGATTTGCTTCCATAACCTCATCTGCCCGAGGGTTCGAACTCGAGACTTTGCGGTTTAGCAACCATGAGCTTTACCGGCTCGAATTTGCTGAATTGGTGATGTCTCGCACGGTTGGGCGACGTAGAGAATTATATACATAGATAGGTATGTCAAGTTGTTAGCGGTATTGTGATGTCGAGCTTAAGCTCTGTGATAAGGTTAGGGTCAGGGCTATGTTAGGACTTGGATTACGGTTTGCATTAGGGCTAGGTTAAGCATTAGTAACGTTCAATATTTTACATTTTAATACATACAACCTAAGAGAATTTTTGAAAGGAAAATGTATTGTTGCTTTATTGGACACGGGTCAGCGATATATAGGCTAACAGGTCACAAGATGGTCAAGAATTTCGTCGTGTATATACAGATTGGAATACAACATCACAGGCTAATCTAAACATGTTTATGTTATTTATTTATGTTATACAATAATTTTTCTTGACAAATTAATTTCCATATTGAACATTAAACAAACGTTAAAGAAGAACATAATAAAATAATTATTTTCTACAATTGTTTTTTTTTAATCAATATAATTTTACGGTTTCTAGAATACATTTTCTAGAACTTTCGCTCCATAACCAGAATCCAACCGATCAATATAGTCGTAAAGCATCAAGCGGTACACTGAAAATTAACTTTCAAATTAAGGAACGGAAACCCCCCCATGCCGTGCAGCAAATGACGAGGTAGTGAAACACAACTTATCTCCCCCATGACGTGGGTTCCCCGCCTTCTTCTCTACCCCCTCCCCCCACCCCCTCCCCAACCATGTCCACATCGTGCGATCGTATAATGGTTAATTCCATCCCAGTTTGGCTCGATTAAAGTGATCAATGTTAAATTAAATTCAATCAATGAAATCAGCAGGGGGCCGCGGCTGGAGTTGACGGCGTCGGTTCAAACAGTCGGGGCGCGTGCTTCTGTCTGTTTGTCTTGCTCCGCTGACGTCAAGGTACGAATTTTTTTTTTTTTTTTTTTTTTTTTTTTTGTACTGTTGGAGGCATTGTTTTACGGTGATTTGGTTTTCTGGCCAGTAAAAAAAAATAAAAATAAAGACCAATTTTTTTGCGTCTCTGCGTCTGCAATACATTGGCCATCCCAGTAAGTCACTGCGTGTTGTGTTGATGGCGTGTGTGTTTCCTGCGTTGTTGTGGTGGGATGAATAATCCTCAAACCTAGTGTGTCTGGGCAGCTCTTTCTCAAAACAACTTCAAACCTAATTACTTTTTCTGCGTGTGTCCATCGAAAAACACCATCATACCTAGTTTTCTACGCATCCATCAAACCTGGTTTTTCTGCGCATGTTAGTCTGAAAACTTCAGCAAATCTGACTTTTCTGCGTATGTCTGTCTGAAAACTTCATCAAATCTTACTTTTCTGCGTATGTCTGTCTGAAAACTTTAACAAATCTAGCTTTTCTGCGTATGTCTAACTGAAAACTTGAACAAATCTGACATTTCTGCGCATGTCTGTCTGAAAACTTCAGGAAATCTTACTTTTCTGCGTATGTCTGTCTGAAAACTTTAATAAATCTAGCTTTTCTGCGTATGTCTGTCTGAAAACTTCAGCAAATCTGACTTTTCTGCGCATGTCCGTCTTTTTACGCCCTTAAACATAGCTTTTCTGCGCATGTCCATCTGAAAACTTCCGCAAAACTAGCTTTTCTACGCATATCTATGTCCATCTTTTATGACCCTCAAACATAGCTTTTCTGCGCATGTCCATCTTAAAACGAACGCAAAACATAGCTTTTCTGCGCATGTCTATCTCTTAACACCATCAGACCTACATTTTCCGCGAACCTATAGAATTATTCCGGCGAACTTAATTTACGGTCCGTACCTACTGACCGGAAGTGGTCATTCGATTGGCGTTGGGCAAATTAATAAGACCGTGGCTGTCACCTTGAATTGTCTATTGCTTCCGGGTTAGCGGCCAACGCGTGCGGATGTGTGTGTGTGTGTGTGTACACGTGTGTGTGTGTGTGTGAGTGTGTGTGTGAGTGAGCAATGCGTGCGTATCTCTTATGGTCAGCCGTGAGTTCTGGTAGCCTGGAAAACAAGGAAATCGCAGGATCGATGAGGGTGGGGATAAAAAAAGTGTGATTTGTGGTTGTTGATCGAACGAGGTGGTTGGGTACTACTGCTGCGTCCCACGGTTGGGTCGTATCGAAGTTCTCTCCTAACTTGCCAGCATCAATACCGTACTTCTAGCCCAGACTCTAAAAAAAGTGAAAGATCCTCTTTAGACCTAGCGATCCATTAGAAAGAAGAGGTAGAGTTCATATGTTACTTGACCTCGGTATATTAAGGGAAGATGCGGTCAGCACTATACCCAGCCGCCTTTATTTTCCCCAACTTGAGTTAGGTACTAATCAGAGCTGGGTGAACTCAGGGATATTTTAATGACTTGGACCCGGATTCGAACTCTTTCGGGATAGCAGCCTAGCGCTCTACCGCTTAGGCCACGCCGTCCCATCAACCCAAACCCTGACACAAGTCTTATTCCAGAACTTGCCTAGACCCAACCCTTACCCATATTCTAACTTCAATTACTCATATTAGTAGAGATAATCTCTAAAAACTAATCTCTAAAACTAATCCTTATTATTTTTAACCCTTATCCTTATCAGTACTCTGAGCCTTATCCTAATCCTAATATCAATACCGACAATAAACTCTTCTACAATGCTGAATCGCTAAATCAGCTTTACTCTATCGCAAGGATATCATATCAAACTACGAAGCCGTGTTAACTTAGCTGTCCTGTCATATTGTGCTTGAGAAACCGTACAAGAAGTTCGGAGATCGGATAAAAATAGGTGTTGAGAGACAGCATGATAAGGATGTGAACTTGTATGCTGATCCCGTTACATGGACGTACTTAAACTGGAGTACACGAGACTGAAATTGTGATCTAGTGTCAAAGTTCAGAAGTCGGTTAAAAATAGATGCTGAAAGACAGCTTGTTAAGGATGTGAACTTGTATACAAGCACTGATCCCGTTACATGGAACTACTTAATTAAACCGGAGTACACAATTGTGAAATTGTGATCTAGAGCGAAAGTTAAATAGTCTTCTAAGTTTAAGCTGTAATAAGATTCATATATCTACGCCTATGATCCATGCACATGTACTATATTGCTAAAATAGTAATAATCCTACTCGTTTAAATCGGATGGTCTTTGGTGCAAATGAAGTTGAGTTCTACTCTTTATATGAACGGATAGTGAGGTCAACACTATGCCCAGCCGAGTATACTTTCCCCAAAATAAGTCAGGTACCCATCAGAGCGAGAAGAATTCTTTGACTCGATTCTAGATCCATAGCAGTAGTCATGTTCTGTTGAAATAAAGTTACAAGTACATTTAGTTTTACGGTAGTTATCAATATCATCAACATAAAATGATAATCAGTATATAAAATATTTTGCGTGTTACTTAAAAAAAAAACCTTTAGTTAAGTAAGTATCTAGATTCCGTACATTTTATGATTAACTTATGCCAAACTTTAGTAATGTAAGTAGCTAGCAGCAGTACCTTATGTATCTGACTTAAATAAAACTTAAGTAATGTTATGATGTACAGTTTGTCTAATCAATACACATCTTTACTCATGTAAAAGTAAAGTTCCCGTTTACTCGTGTAATGAACTAAATTCAGTACAGTTTATGTCTGAAATATGCTAAGCTTTACTGATATAGTGATCTAGATTCCGTTCATTTTGTGACTGACTTACATAAACCTCTGTTTTTTTGTAATGTAATAATCTAGATTTTATACATTTAGTGACTGACTTATCCAAAACTTCACTCTTGTAATGAACTAATATGAGGAAATTTTTCCTGACTGACATATTTGTGACTGAATTTATACAAACCCCTTGTAATGTAATGATCTACATTCCATACCTTTTTGTCTAAATTATACAAACCTTCACTCATGTAATGATCTAGATTCCGTACATTTTGTGTGTAAATTATCCAAACTTTCACTCATGTAATGATCTAGATCCCGTACATTTTGTGTGTAAATTAAACAAACCTTCACTCATGTAATGATCTAGATTCCGTACAGTTTTGACTGACTAATACAAACCACTAGTAAATTAATGATCTAGATTCCGTACATTGTGTGACTGACTTATACAAACCCCTAGTTATGTAATGATCTAGAACCTTCAGTGCCCCAGCGGTGTCTAGTCATGTGAGAGTGGGAATGTGACAAGATAATTCCACACGGATCAGCGACTAGAAGAAGACGTCTTGTTGCTACAGCGACTAGAAGAAGACGTCTTGTTGCTACAGCGACTAGAAGACGTCTTGTTGCTACAGCGACTAGAAGATGACGTCTTGTTGCTACAGCGACTAGAAGACGTCTTGTTGCTACAGCGACTAGAAGACGTCTTGTTGCTACAGCGACCTGAAGAAGACGTCTTGTTGCTACAGCGACTAGAAGACGTCTTGTTGCTACAGCGACTAGAAGACGTCTTGTTGCTACAGCGACTAGAAGATGACGTCTTGTTGCTACAGCGACTAGAAGATGACGTCTTGTTGCTACAGCGACCTGAAGATGACGTATTGTTGCTACAGCGACTAGAAGAAGACGTCTTGTTGCTACAGAAGAAGACGTCTTGTTGCTACAGCGACTAGAAGACGTCTTGTTGCTACAGCGACCTGAAGAAGACGTCTTGTTGCTACAGCGACTAGAAGATGACGTCTTGTTGCTACAGCGACCTGAAGATGACGTCTTGTTGCTACAGCGACCTGAAGATGACGTCTTGTTGCTACAGCGACCTGAAGAAGACGTCTTGTTGCTACAGCGACCTGAAGAAGACGTCTTGTTGCTACAGCGACTAGAAGATGACGTCTTGTTGCTACAGCGACTAGAAGACGTCTTGTTGCTACAGCGACCTGAAGAAGACGTCTTGTTGCTACAGCGACTAGAAGATGACGTCTTGTTGCTACAGCGACTAGAAGATGACGTCATGTTGCTACAGCGACTAGAAGATGACGTCTTGTTGCTACAGCGACTAGAAGATGACGTCATGTTGCTACAGCGACCTGAAGATGACGTCTTGTTGCTAAAGCGACCTGAAGAAGACGTCTTGTTGCTACAGCGACTAGAAGAAGACGTCTTGTTGCTACAGCGACTAGAAGAAGACGTCTTGTTGCTACAGCGACCTGAAGAAGACGTCTTGTTGCTACAGCGACTAGAAGATGACGTCTTGTTGCTACAGCGACTAGAAGAAGACGTCTTGTTGCTACAGCGACCTGAAGATGACGTCTTGTTTCTACAGCGACCTGAAGATGACGTCTTGTTGCTAAAGCGACCTGAAGAAGACGTCTTGTTGCTACAGCGACTAGAAGATGACGTCTTGTTGCTAAAGCGACCTGAAGAAGACGTCTTGTTGCTACAGCGACTAGAAGATGACGTCTTGTTGCTACAGCGACTAGAAGATGACGTCTTGTTGCTACAGCGACCTGAAGATGACGTCTTGTTTCTACAGCGACCTGAAGATGACGTCTTGTTGCTAAAGCGACCTGAAGAAGACGTCTTGTTGCTACAGCGACTAGAAGATGACGTCTTGTTGCTACAGCGACTTGAAGAAGACGTCTTGTTTCTACATCGACCAGAAGAAGACGTCTTGTTGCTACAGCGACTAGAAGATGACGTCTTGTTGCTACATCGACCAGAAGAAGACGTCTTGTTGCTACATCGACTAGAAGATGACGTCTTGTTGCTACAGCGACCTGAAGAAGACGTCTTGTTGCTACATCGACCAGAAGAAGACGTCTTGTTGCTACAGCGACTAGAAGATGACGTCTTGTTGCTACAGCGACTAGAAGACGTCTTGTTGCTACAGCGACTAGAAGAAGACGTCTTGTTGCTACAGCGACCTGAAGATGACGTCTTGTTGCTACAGCGAGTAGAAGATGACGTCTTGTTGCTACAGCGACCAGAAGAAGACGTCTTGTTGCTACAGCGACTAGAAGAAGACGTCTTGTTGCTACAGCGACTAGAAGATGACGTCTTGTTGCTACAGCGACTAGAAGACGTCTTGTTGCTACAGCGACTAGAAGAAGACGTCTTGTTGCTAAAGCGACCTGAAGAAGACGTCTTGTTGCTACAGCGACCAGAAGATGACGTCTTGTTGCTACAGCGACCAGAAGATGACGTCTTGTTGCTACAGCGACCTGAAGATGACGTCTTGTTGCTACAGCGACTAGAAGAAGACGTCTTGTTGCTACAGCGACTAGAAGAAGACGTCTTGTTGCTACAGCGACTAGAAGATGACGTCTTGTTGCTACAGCGACCTGAAGATGACGTCTTGTTGCTACAGCGACTAGAAGAAGACGTCTTGTTGCTACAGTCAGTGTCACGATCTGACAACGTCCATCATAATTATGAGATAGGGACGCTACTAGACCGGACTAAAATCGGCGACAAAAGCCGATTATGTAAATAGCTTATTATAAAGAAAAATATGAATTTAAAAAACCGGAATAAAATTTAAAAACTCGCGGTAAAACCCGGAATAAAATTTAAAATATAACAGTTAAAACCATAATAAAAAAAATACTAAGTACGAATTTTTTGTTAGGGTTTTTCTAACGTAATTTTAGATAAGAGACCATCTATAAAGTACTCGCAAACAATAGGTTTTTAAATAAAATATAATGTCTGTAATAATAGCGCTAAACATTTGTCTTTAGTTTTCATACCTCCCTCCTTTATAACCTAGTATGTAGTGTTTAACTACCGGCATTAGGTTAGTATTTCAAAGTGTTTTTCTTTGTATAGAAGAAGTATTTGATTTGTATTGTTACATGTATTTTCAGAATAATTTTTGTCTTATGATTTGAGCTACATTAACCTGATTGTTGTCCGTCTTAACACAGTTTGTCCTAAAATACTATATCATAAAGTAACAAAAGTGCTACATTTCTACACTTGATTCTAACTTCCCCCTCCCTACACTGTAGCCCTACTTAGATCTAGAAAATGTACCGCTATATATATATATATATATATATATATATATATATATATATATATATATATATATATATATATATATATATATATATATATATATATATATATATATATATATATATACACCTGCGCCACGACTTTTACGCAACTTTCAACATTTGAAATTTGAAAATATCGAACTGTAATTACACTACAGCTTTAGAAATATGACTTTCATAATATTCACGGCTTGTAACATTTCGAAAAATAACGGATACCATTTCATTCCTGTAACAACACAACTCACATTTCAAGAGAAACATTTTCTTTAAATTGTATTTGTAAGTGAAACCAAATCGATAGAAACTCCTCTAAGGATTTCTCATACACAAAGTGTGTCAGCTAATCTGAAACTGTTCTTGGCTGTTTTAAATATTTAACAACGTACATCTTTTACACGCACCTGTAAAATTATGTTGTCCATATTGACGATAGACATATCGATAAACAAATCCAAACTTATATCACAAATAATCACGATGTAAATATACTATCTGAAATGACGATAGGTTTATAAAAAAAATCAAATTTATGCGGTAAATAACCACGATAGTAAAGTTCTATTTTCAGATCAAACTATCCATAAAGCAGAGGACGTAGAGTTTATGTGTTTACACCTCAGGATATGAAGGGATGGTGTTGTGAGTACTATGCCCATCCGCCTTTATTTTTCTTCACGTGAGTTAGGTACCCATTAGAGCTGGATTGACTCGGGGACGCCCTGCCGACTTGAGTCCGAACCGAGATACGAACTGGAGAATTTTGGTTTATCAAGCTCGTGATCTACCACTCAACCACACCGTCTTAATAAATGACAATACGCTTATCAAAACAACCACAGTGCTTATAGTGTCCACAACGACCATATACCACAAATGACTGTAATTAACGTCTTTGTTTACATTATCAATAAACAATAGACATTTATCCAAGACAACACGATTGTGACCTATCTGCATAATTATCTACCCAATTACCATAGATTCAGGTTGCCATTTACAATCAGTTATCGTATTGCACGTCCGCTTACTTATCAGATTCAATTGGTTTTTTTAACCACCAAGATATTCAGTTCCCAAACGAGTTATCTCCCTGTAAAACCCACACAAAAAATATCGCTTCCCTCTCCCCAAATCCATTCCAATTTACCCCGTCCCTCTAACGTCTGTTGTGAGTTTGGAGCCCATACTAAATGCCAGATCTAGATTAACTGTTCAGCAAAATAAACACGTGCTTAAGCTATCAAGGGAAGTGGGGCATCCAGAATATATTTTTATATATTTTGCAAAACAAAACGTATACCATTTATAATAACAAGACTTTACTTGCACAAAAATATGAAAAGAAACTTTTTTTTTTGTAATTTATTACTAAAATCTATATCTAAATTAAATATAGGTTTTAGTGGTAAAACGTTATTTGCCTAATTTTGCTCAACGGATTTCACAAGCAACCGAAGTTTTTACTATTATTTCATAGAAGAAAACGATATCATAGCGCAATTTTATATTTTACTCTTCAGTATAACCTTTATGTATGATGAGATTTTTTTTTATCCATATTCACTCATCAGCGCCCCCCCCCCCCCGGTATTTCCATAACCCCAGATCAAAAAGTTATATGTCACTTGTCACACGTCACCCGTCACATGTACGTGTCAATCACGGTGACACGTCACAGAGTGTGACATCCTGCTGGCACTGCTGTGGTAACATTAATGCCCCCCCCCCTCATGTTTGCATTAGTTATTGATTTCACCAATGGGGCAGGTTTTTAACCTCTAATCATACAGCTTAAAGAAGAAGAAAAAAAAACAGGCCCGGCAAACAAACGAAACAAAACAAATAAAACATAGCTTTAATACAGAGTAATATAAAATTAATGTTTAATTCAGTATATCAAGCGTCGTCGTACCAGATTAGAAGAAAATCGAACAATTGTAAACCTTACGCAAATACAGAGTAAACACTTATAACCTTATATACCTAAATGTAATATCGTTAGTATACACATTGTGTTACATATATTTTAATACGCCAGATGGTATGATGTTTTTTATGTATGCAAAAACATGCAGCCTAAAGAATTAAATTTAAAAAATATAAAAAAAAGTCTTTTTTAAAAAATGTAAACGGTCTAAAATATAATAATATGCAATTTATTCTAAGGCTATTTAATAAATAATCCTATCAGTGTGTGAATATACTGTATGTACTCTATAATCACTATATAATAGTAATTTATTTTTTCAAAATTTTTATTTTAAAAACTTTTTTTTTTTTTTTAAACTTATGAAGGTTTTAGCAAAACATTTACGAACATACCTCTGTCGTACAATGGAAAGTTTAAACAAGCTTCACGGGTGTTAGAAAAAAAATTTAAGACGTTAAAGCTTTTTGAAAAATTAAATATATTAAAGAATAATAAATAAACTACAATCAATATTAAATTATACATAACATTCGCCTTATCTGCATTTATGTCCAACTAAATATTAAACAACTATTTACATTTCTTTTTTAATTACATAGAAATTATTATTTTAGCTAAATTAATAATAAACATTATTGACTATGTCCCTTTATTATTTTTTATAATTTATAAATGGGAAGTAACTATAACAAAAAATAGAATAAGCCACTTACAAAATCTAGAAAGTCTACTTTAAAAAAAAATGAGTAACAATTATAGCCTGCTTAGTAAAGTGGAGATTAAAGTAAAATATTACTTTTGGTTGTAAACGGTATACATTAACATACAATCGTGTAGTACATTTTTGACAATGTTAGCCTTACTTAACAAACAGATATATATATATATATATATATATATATATATATATATATATATATATATATATATATATATATAATATTTTGCACAATATATTTATTATCTTAATCATAATGAAAACAAAACAATGCAAATCTTGTATTGATGAATTAGTAAAAAAGGTAAAGATAATTAACAATAAATTTGATGAAATATTCTTATGTCTTCTTTTATAAGATGAAATAAAAATATAAGTTGCGAATAATCTTTGAAATCAAATCATACGAACTTTCTAATTAATTTAATGGATCTGTTTTCATTATTGGTCACATTTTCAGAGCAACTGCCAACTCACAAATATTTCAATAAGCATTTTATTTCATTGCAATCAGAGTTTACTATCAGCAAAGCTATTAAAATAAACTAGATTCCTGGCCCGTAATGTCTGAGTTTTAAACGGGTCTAAAAGAATAATAAATACCGGGAAGTAGATGAAAAATCATAAAATCCATGTCTACATTTTGTAATAAACATGTGAAGATAAAACAGGCGAATTCAACGTGAGATAGATTCATGATCACGTTTTTATTCCTTCTGAAATCCTGTTTATCTAGTGGAGTGAATTCTGCGATTAATTTCTGTGCACGTGCGACGTCTGAAGTGAGGGTGGGGGGGGGGGGGGGTAATTGCACAGGTGAATCGTACACCTGCTTAGGTAAATCAAATCTTACATCGGTAATCGTTTTGTAAAGGATAAAAAGTTATTTACTAAACGAGTTAGTGGTTGTAAATAAATACAACGCGTACCAGATAATCTAAAAAAATTATGTGGGTTGGGTTCGTCAAAGCAGTAAATCTAAAAATAATATTTGTCTTTCTTAAAGGGAAGATATTGAAAATACTTTGATGCTACTTTAGGTAATGAATTCCGAAATAATGTGTGTTGTGTCGGTTTAAGTCCCTTATAACTGTGACAGAAATATGTTTTCCTTAAAGCAGTTAATCCCCAAAAAACACTTGTTTTGTTTTCTTAAAATAATGAATTGAAATAAAGATATTTGTGTTTCTTGAAGCAGTAAATGTGCACATGTAATGTTTTGCGTCCTTTAAAACAAATATAAAAGGAATGTTTCTTCACTGAATTCATACATTTCAAAAGTGCATCTGTTAATGTAAACATAATTTTTGTTATAATATTGACAAACATTTTTGTAGTTTTAACAGTTAAGCCTTATTATTAGAAAATCGTAACCTCTCTTTAGCTTAAATTAGTACTCAGTGTTTTTTTATGTATAACTTTAAGGATGCTGTGTTTCGAGCAGGCTGATGTGCATGTTTGTAGATATTATTAAAGATCCGAACAGTATTAAAGTGAAGATTATATTCAGAAACCTCTCTACGACGTATTTCCCCAGTGGCATAGCGAGGTCGGGTGTCACCCGGTGCGGCACTTAATGGTGTTACCAAACCCCCCCCCCCCCCCACCCAGAGGCACAGCGACCCTTCCCGGGGACAAACTTTCAAATTTTCGATTAGCATCCCCCCCCTTCAAACTTTCGATTTGCACCCCCACCCCTCAAACTTTCGATTTGCACCCCCCCCCCCTCAAACTTTCGATTTGCATCCCCCCTCAAACTTCCGATTTGCAACCCCCATCAA